CTTTGGGAGGCCAAGGCAGGCAGATCATGAGGTCAGGAGTTCAAGACCAGCCTGACCAATATGGTGAAACCTTGTCTCTACTAAAAATACAAAAAACAGTCGGGTGCCATGGCTCATGCCTGTAATCCCAGCACTTTGGGAGGCGGAGGTGGGCAGATCACCTGAGGTTGGGAGTTCGAGATCAGCCTGACCAAGATGGAGAACCCGTCTTTAGTAAAAATTCAAAAAATTAGCCAGGTGTGATGGTGCATGGCTGTAATCCCAGCTACGCTGGAGGCTCAGGCAGGAGAATCGCTTGAACCTGGGAGTTGGAGGTTGTGGTGAGCCGAGATCCTGCCATTGCACTCCAGCCTGGGCAACAAGAGTGAAACTCTATCTCAAAAAATAAAAAAAAAAAAAGAAAAAAATGTATACTATTGAGCTCAAGAACACTGTGTTTGGTGTGTCATTGGGTCAAGGGATGGGGATACACATGGCAGAATTCAGAAATGGTATACATCAACAAAAATACACACGATCATTACAAGAAAAACTGGCTCCTGGCACAATCAATTCTTGGTTTCCTCTTCACTCAGCGGCATGTTGGGGATCCCGCGGATGACAGGGAACGTACGTGCAGACTCTGGTCACTGCAGGGTGCCCTCCATTCCTTCCACCTCCAGCAGCAGGTGGCGCATGGTCCTCAGAAACTCTTCATTCTCCTCATACCCCTCAACCAGACCTTTGGGCACCTGAATCAGGCGCAAGTTATAAGTCGCCTCCAGGAACGCCGCCCACTCCACCTTGGGTATCGTTAAGTGCCACGAATTGGGGGTAGAACTCCACGGGGCACATGCAGACCTTGCTGGCCTGGAGGTGCAAAGGGAAGCCACAGGGCCCACCCCCTACACATGGGAGCTCAGCAGATTGTGGGTCAGCAGTTTTGTGTCGCCGAATGAGCTCTCGCCAGGCCAGAACTGGAAGCTTTTTAAAATTATTTTTAACATGATAATCGGACTAGATTTTTTTTTTTTTTTTTTTTTTTTTTTTTTTTTTTTTTTTTTTTTTTTTTTTGTATAGAGATGGGTTTCACCATGTTGGCCAGGCTTGTCTCCAACTCCTGACCTCAAGTGATCCACCCACCTCGGCCTCCCAAAGTTCTGGGATTACAGGCGTGAGCCACCATGCCTGGCTACTGTTTCTAATAAAAAAAAAACTTTTGTCCAACTGTATTCTTCAAAAAGGACCCTTGCACAGCCAAACCAGGAAGCCTTCTCAGGTATCCGTAGCCAGCCTGCAGGAGGTCTTGGAAACTTGTTCAACAGACAAATATAACTGGACCCACAAAGGATCACAGGAGTACTTAACTTCCTCCAGCCTCTAGGGCCAGCTAGGGCTGCCCCCAGCTAACTACTAGGCCCAATCTGGCGGTGGGCAGAACCATGCCAGGACCAAGCCCAGCTGATTTTTGTGTTTTTAGTACAGATGGGGTTTCATCATGTTGGTCAGGCTGGTCTTGAACTCCTGACCTCATGATCCGCCTGCCTCGGCTTCCCAAGGTGCTGGGATTACAGGTGTGAGCCATTGCGCTCAGCCTCCCAAAATTTTTCGAAGTCTCCTTTCAGGAAGAGGGATAGGACCTGGCCAATCAGGGAGGTCTGGACAGGGTGGCCTAAGTTTGCCCACAGTCCCATGGGGACTCCTTTGTAGGAGGCTCTGTGTGCAAAGGTTTCTATGTCCCAGCCAGTGGCAGGGACTGGTCACAGCCAAAGAAGGAGGCCAGCAGAGGGACCACAGGAGGGCTGCCTTCCTGCAGAGGCCTCTGATTGTGGGAGGTGTCTCCAGGAAATATCCGTAAGTCCTTGAGGATGGGGTTGGGATAAGGAAACAGCCTAGACCAGCTAGGAACCCTAGGGCAGAGTACCCCAGGCCTAGTTTCAGTCACATGTGAGGCCTAGTTCCTCGATGTGCCCTTGAAAATTTGGCCGGGCGCTCCATCTTTTTGCTGAAGATTAAAAAAAGAAAAAGAAAAAGAAAAATTTGGCCAGGTGTGATGGCTCATGCCTGTAATCCCAGCACTTTGAGAGGCCAAGGCGGGTGGATCAGGGAGTCAGGAGTTCAAGACCAGCCTGGCCAACATGGTGAAACCCCATCACTATTAAAGATTCAAAAATTAGCCAGATGTGGTGGCAGGTGCCTGTAATCCCAGCTACTCAGAAGGCTGAGGCAGGAGAATCACTTGAACCCAGGAGGTGGAGGTTGCAGTGAGCCAAGATTGTGCCAGGGAACTCCAGCCTGGATGACAGAGAAAGACTCCATCTCAAAACAAACAAACAAACAAACAAAAAAAAAAAACGAAAAATTTGGGGGGGTCACATGTTAAAACAGGAACCCATGTGGGACCAGGGCTGAGCCTGGAGAGCACTCCACAGTCCTTCTTACCTAGTCCAGGCCAGTCACTACCATCGGTGGGGGACTTATAAATATTTTTGGTGAGGGTGATAACTCCAAAATCAGGTCCAATATGGTAGATGGGTGCAGGGAGCTCTTTTCAGGCCACATAAGCTGGCCCAGCCCTCCATCAAGAAGGAAACTTGGGGAAAAAAAAATATATCTGGTGACTATGCCTCAAGTGGGACCACAGCAGAGTATCCCCTGCCACCCCACCCTGGAATCCCTAGGTGGCCCATGCCAACTGGCCCATTGGAGGGGTTCTCAAAGGAAACATTAGGAGGCCAACATGATATCACCCTCCCTGGGCTTCCCTGTCCACCCTGGCCCAGTCCTTGTCATTGGAGGGGGCCTAAGAAACATTTGCAGTTGGTGCTTGCAAATTCGACCCTAGAAATTTGAAAACTTTTTTTTTTTTTTTTTAAGAGACAGGGTCTTGCTTTGTCACCCAAGCTGGAGTGCAGTGGAGCCATCATAGTTTACTGCAGCCTCAAACTCCTGGGCTCAAGCAATCCTCCCACTTCGGCCTCCCAAATAGCTAGGAATTACAAGTGCATATCATCTTACCTGGATGACTTTCTAATTTTTAATTTTTTTTTCAAGAGATAAGATCCAGGCCAGGCACAGTGGCTTACACCTACAATCCCAGCACTTTGGAAGGCCAGGACGGCAGATCACTTGAGGTCAGAAGTTTGGGACCAGCATGGCCAACATCGTGAAAATCCATACAAAAATAAGCCGGGCGTGGTGGCAGGCACCTGTAGTCCCAGCTACTTGGGAGGCTGAGGCAGGAGAATCACTTGAACCTGGGAAGTAGAGGTTGTAGTGAGCCAAGATCGCGACACTGCAATCCAGCGTGGGTAACAGAGTGAGACTCAGTCCCAAACAAACAAATAAACCGGTAAGATCTGGCCCAGGCTAGAATGCAGCAGTGCTATCACTTACTGCAGCCTTGACCTCCTGGGCTCAAGCAATTCTCTCAAGTAGTTGGGAATACAGGTACCTGTCACCACATCCAGCTATTTTTTTTTTTAATTTTTTGTAGAGACAGGGCCTTATTTTTGTGGCCCATGATAGTCTAGAACTCCTGGGCTCAAGAAATTCTCCTGCTTCAGCCTCCAGAGTTGCTAGGATTACAGAAGCAAGCCACCACACCTGGCTCTCGCTCATAAATTCTGTCCCCCTCCAACAAGCAAACAACAAACAAAAAATCCCCACACCCAGTCACAGAGTGACCTGAGTCTTAGTAGTGGCATTTTAATGGCAGCAGCCCCAAGAGGAAAGTGAGAGTCTGCTCTGCCCTCGGAGCAGGCGGCTTAGGCTTTGAGGGCCCATCGCAGAAGACCTAACCATCCACCTCCTTCCATTGAACTGAGGCCAGGAAAGTGCGGATTTCCATGGGCTGCAGCGTGATGCTGGCCGGGTCCAGCTGGTAGGGAGTTTGGTGGGGTGCGGAACCTGGGGAAGTGCAGGGGGAAGGAGGAGTGAGGGGGTGCAGACTTCCTCTGACTCACCACACTGTGCTTCCTCCCCTGGGCCTGGACACAGCTGCACATCCCCGAATCTGTTCCAGGGCCTCACTCCCAGACTCTTAAACTGCTTCCCCAGCCCTGAGGTCCACCCCCAGGTCCAATGCCTGGCTACTGTCCTCATACCCTCAATCTGACCCCAGGGGTGATGGACACCCTCCCAGAACTAGACACAGATGGAGATTTTCTTCTTGTTCTTGGGACTAAACTCTACCCACAAACCTTAAGACCCATTCCTGGTTTGCGACATCCATTTCAGATCCTTTAAGCCCCTAACCTGGATCTGGACTCCACCCCATACCCACAGGACTTTTTTGGGTCCTGACCAACAATCTCATGCCTCACACATTGCCCCTACCTGCAGGCCCCAGGCAGGACCCCACCCCTTCCTTACCCCTGACCAGGACCCCACCCGTGTTTGTTGTCCACTTGAGCCTGGAGGCTGCCTCCCGGAGCTGGTTGGCCACCAGCGTGGTCTCCTGCAGGCGGGTGATGGTGAAGGTAGAGAACAGGTCCTGCAGGCGGGGGTAGGCACAGATGAGTTGGGGCAAAGCCAGGTTTCCCTTCTCTTCCTCTTTCTTGCCTCTCTCAGATCTCCTCAATTCTGCCCTTCTCACCCTCAAGTTCAAGGTTACGGGGGCACTCAGGTTACGTCCGGAATCCTCTCCCACGGCAAACTGGTGCTCCAAGCGTAGCAGCAGCATCTCAGGGCCCCAACTGGCCAGTGTGAGCAGGTGCACCGAGGGCGGCAGCTCGCTGCGCAGCCCGGAGAACTGTGGGGAAAGAGGGCGGGGCCAAGTTAGAGAGGGGCGGGGCTGTATGGAGAAGGGCGGAGCGGAGCCAGGTTCAGGAGGCAGCACTGGATTGCAGGGGCGGGGTTTTGCCGGGAAGGGGCGGGGTTCAGCCAAGAGGAGCGGCCAGGGCCGCGACGGGGAGGGCTGAGCCAACGAGGGGATGGGTCGGTCCCAAGCTGGGGTCGGGTTCGAGTCCCAACAAGGCAGAGCTGATCTGACCCTAGACTTTGGGCGTTAGGGCGGGGCTGAAGCCGAGGGGCGGGGTGAGGCGGGACAGAGCCTGGGGGGCGGTGAGAGGGCGGGGCTAAAGTGAGATGGGCAGGGCCGCAGGTGAAGAGGTGGTTTAGGGGCATGTACTAGGGCTGTACCTCTACACAGTCCGGGTGGGTTGGGACTGGGTCGGCACTGAGCGGGGACTGCCCAAGGGATGGGGCTGGCCCGAGGGTTTGGGGCCAATTAATGGCCAGTTGGGTCCCCAATGGGTCTAGGAAAACCCGCACCCAAACCCAGCTCCCTGGGTTTGGTGAAGACTTCATTCCGGTCCTCTCTGCCCACCTCGCTGCCCCTCACCTGCGTGCGCGGAGCAGCACGGAGATTGTAGGGGGCGCCGCCACCCGCGGCCAGCACCACCTGCGGGGCCAGGACTTCCTGCTCCGCCAAGAGCCGGTGCCCGGCGGCCGCAGCCTGGGCAGTGTCCAGCAGCACCAGGTGGCGCCCTCGCACCCATGACCCCGACCCGTTCTCCATCAATGGCTCCGATACTCCACGTCCATCGTCCTTCAGCAGCCTTCGGTGCACCTGGGGGGAGAGTGGCCAGGAGGGAGTGAGAGTCGTGGGTCTGTGGGTGTCCTTGGGCCAGAAACTGGGTAGGGGCTGCGAGAATGTCAAGAAAAATTAAAGGGTGGGAGGAACGGACGGAGAATAAGGTGAGGGTCTGGTAGGGCGATCCCAGCAGAGGCAGAATCCAAGTAGGCACAGGAACCAGGCCGGAGGGATGTGAGTGCCTAACAGGGAGGCCTGGATATGGCACCCCAGAGCCTGGAGGGGTCCTGGGTAGGGAATGGAGAGAAGTGAAGAGGAAAAGTTGCACACAGAAATGGAGTCCTCCACCGGGTGCCGTGGTCATGCATGTAATCCCAGCACTTTAGGAGGTCGAGGTGGGTGGATCACCTGAGGTCAGGAGTTCGAGACCAGCCTGGCCAACATGGCAAAACCCCATCTCTACTAAAGATACAAAAATTAGCCAGGTGTAGTGGCAGGTGCCTGTAATCCCAGCTACTCCGGAGG